GGCCTGTAGTTCCCTGGGTCCTCCTTGCCCTTTTTGAGGATTGGAGTGACAGTGGCTTTTCTCCAGTCCTCAGGCACCTCTCCTGTCTCCAGGACCTTTCAAAGATGATGGAGAGTGGCTCAGCAGCGACATCCGCCAGCTCCCTCAGCACTCGTGGGTACATTCCATCGGGGCCCATGGATTTGTGGGCGTCCAGATTGCTAAAGCAATCCCTCACGCAGTCATCCTCAACCAAGGGAAAGTCATCCTCTCTGTAGGCTTCCTCTTTTTCCTCCAGGGCCTGGGATTCCTGAGGGTCTCCCTTGGCACTGAAGACTGAAGCAAAGAAGGCATTCAGTAACTCAGCCTTCTCTGCATCCTCTGTCACCAGGACACCCACCTCATTCAGCAGCGGCCCCACATTGTCCCTAGTCTTCCGTTTGCTACTGATGTAGTTGAAGAAGCCCTTCTTGTTGTTTTTGACATCCCTTGCCAAATTCAATTGCAGGTGGGCCTTGGCCTTCCTCGTCGCATCCCTGCATGCTCTGACAACATTGCTGTACTCTTCCCAAGTGGCCTGTCTCTCTTTCCACATTCCATGGACCTTTCTCTTCCATAGTGCAGCTGGGCTGCAATCCCCAGGCCAAAGCACCTTTCTGGGTGTCCGTGCCCTCAGCACCCAGGCCCAGCCCGTTAGCAAGGGCTGTCAAAGTCAAGCCCACTAAGATCATTTTAACCTGTAAACCAGCAAACCATTACTGCTGAAATAGTGTTCTCTACAAACAAAAGCAAGTGAAGTCCTGTATGGAAAACTGTTTGTTACATTCCTAATGATTACTACATAAGTAAGAAAATATCTAAATGTACTTTGTATTTCTTCTACACTGCAAGACTAAGAGATGTGAACAGGATATGATGTTTATGCTTTATGAAAGATTTTCCAGGAGGGCAGTTGGTCCTAAGCTCCTGAAGTCCTGTCTGACGCAGGAATATTAGACCCTTCCTTGAATGGCAATTTTGATAGAAGCTGTTAACTAGTTGCTAGTGTGTAAGTGAATTCTTTTGGGTACGTGATGGACATGGAGGAGGAAGTACAGATTACAAATCTTGCATATGAAGCAAACAGGATGTTTATGTCTTCCGGCATTTCAACCTAGTTGAAAGTAACATTTCACTGTTGCTTTTAGTAAGAGAACAGGACTTTATCCTAGATTTTGGACTCATAAAAGCTAAATGCTGTTACAATTGTGTGTTCAGCTACATGCAAATTCACGTTAATCTCTGGTGAATAAAATAGCTGAATGTAAAAACTGATATGAGCGTTAAGTTATTCCTAGTGTAACTCTGATGCAAGATATGTTACTTCATCCTTTTAAAAATGCTCCTAGCTCCTTAGGAGAATTTGCGACTATTGTTTAAAGTGACTTCCATGTGTATTTTGTTCTTTAGGTAATAGTTTTAAAGTTTGTATATAATTTACAGGGGTGTGACTGAACTTTCATTTTCAAATAACAGTGAGCTGAAGGTGTGGTGTGAGGTGCGTATCAGGAGAACACAGCATAACTCTTGCATTCAGTTAACTCAAGTCTTCATTTCTAGTTACTTCATTTGTCCTTGGGGAGTGTTGTTATAGGAAAGCTGCATTGTCTATGTAATGAAACCGTGCTGTGTGATGTAGTTCCACTTCACAAGTCCTTTTGTAATGCAGTTGTTACTGTGCAGGGGCGGGGGGAGAGGAGAAACTGGCATTTATCTGTATGACCTTGTTTAAGGCTCTTAAAACATTGTCCGTTATGATTAAGTGATCATTTTTATTCTTTAGTGCCTTCTATACAAGTCTTTAGCATACTGGACTTGCTGTTATGAAGCATCTCTGGAGCTTGCAAGCTGGTACGTAAGGTGTTGGATAGGGACCCTGAGGAAGTGTGCTCTGCATTTGAACTGAAGGGGGGTGGGTTTTGAACTTACTCTTTTTTTAATGTGTTGAAGGTAGATCTAAGTCTGTTTCAGAACAGAATCCCATCACATGAGCTGTATGCAAGAGTAGGATAGTCCTACTGCAAGAGCTTAAATAAAAAATAGAGACTAAACTTAAAGGGGAGATGCAAGAAAATATGGAGAAAATGAGGTAATTGTAGCGCTGATCGTGAGAGGGCTGTATCTTGTCCATATACAAGTTTTCTTCTGGAAATACTGGCTGCTGTTTTGCTGGAAGGATGCAATACTTGCGGACAGTTGAAACCATAAATGTCTTGCATCTTCACGGTATGGTACCTTGGAGGGTTGAAGAAGCCCTCTAATGTAACTTCTTTTTTGTCAAGCTGGTGGAGTCATTCCAGTGTGGTGATGATGGCTTCTGGGGTGAGCAGTTGTCCTGAAATGTCGAGTTCCTGTTTTCTGTAGCAGTAGTTTTCTCTGGTTTCCCTCTTTCTGTCCCTGTTGAAATGTTTACATAGTTGCATCCTCAAGGACAGATTTTCCATAAAGATATGATGTCTTTGGAGACCTTGGAAGAGAGACTTCCAGATATCTTGCTGGTGGGGCTGGAAGGTTTCTCCAAACTCTGAAGACTGACAGCAGCTTTGGTGTGAACAAGCATTTTTTTTTTTTTTTTTTTTTCTCAAGACAAGACGGTGGTTCCGGTAATACAGGGATAGGTACACTGACTTGTACTTACAGTACAGATTTAGAACAATATTATCAATTCTGCTGTTTAGTTCACCCAGAAATCCAGCTAGCTGCAACTCTTGAACCAATTGTTAGTTAAGTTTCTGCCTTTGATTCTGAGGCAGCATGGTTGCTAGTGGCTGAACTGCCTGTATGTTTTTGAAGTGAAACTTCTGCTCTTTTCCCTTATGCAAGCAGAGCAGTTGCTCATAGCCTTGCACTGGAAGTCTTCAGACATACGTGTGTCTGACTTCTTAATGTTTTGAGCTGTTGCATCCTTGTCTAGGAGAATGAAGCACTTTGACAAAAGTAAGTCAGAAACTTGTTGCTGATGAGCAAGAAAGCTGAAGAAGGTTTAAAGGTCTCTGACTGGATGTCCTGGGTTTGGCCAGGACAGGGTTAATTTTCACCGGACTCCAGGAAGGGGCACAGCCGGGGGGTGGGGGCTGACCCCACCTGGCCAAACAGAGCCCGGTATTCCATACCCTGTGACGTCACGCTGGGTTCCGGTGGGGGGGGAGCGGCGCGGCGGGAA